TCTTCTTCTTCTTCTTTCTTCTTCTTCTTTCTTCTTCTCTTCTTCTTCTTCTTCTTCTTCTTCTTCTTCTTCTTCTTCTTTCTTCTTCTTCTTCTTCTTCTTCTTCTTCTTCTTCTTCTTCTTCTTCTTCTTTCTCTTCTTCTTCTTCTTCTTCTTCTTCTTCTTCTTTTCTTCTTCTTCTTCTTCTTCTTCTTCTTCTCTTCTTCTTCTTCTTCTTCTTCTTCTTCTTCTTCTTTCTTCTTCTTCTTCTTCCTTCTCTTTCTTCTTCTTCTTCTTCTCTTCTTCTTCTTCTTCTTCTTCTCTTCTTCTTCTTCTTCTTCTTCTTTCTTCTTCTTCTTCTTCTTCTTCTTCTTCTTCTTCTTCTTCTTCTTCTTCTTCTTCTTCTTCTTCTTCTTCTTCTTCTTCTTCTTCTTCTTCTTCTTCTCTTCTTCTTCTTCTTCTTTTCTTCTTCTTCTTCTTCTTCTTTCTTCTTCTTCTTCTTCTTCTTCTTCTTCTTCTTCTTCTTCTTCTTCTTCTTCTTCTTCTTCTTCTTCTTCTTCTTCTTCTTCTTTCTTCTTCTTCTTCTTCTTCTTCTTCTTCTTCTTCTTCTTCTTCTTCTTCTTCTTCTTCTTCTTCTTCTTCTTCTTCTTCTTCTTCTTCTTCTTCTTCTTCTTCTTCTTCTTCTTCTTCTTCTTCTTCTTCTTCTTCTTCTCTTCTTCTTCTTCTTCTTCTTCTTCTTCTTCTTCTTCTTCTTCTTCTTCTTCTTCTTCTTCTTCTTCTTCTTCTTCTCTTCTTCTTCTTCTTCTTCTTCTTCTTCTTCTTCTCTTCTTCTTCTTCTTCTTCTTCTTCTTCTTCTTCTTCTTCTTCTTCTTCTTCTTCTTCTTCTTCTTCTTCTTCTTCTTCTTCTTCTTCTTCTTCTTTCTTCTTCTTCTTCTTCTTCTTCTTCTTCTTCTTCTTCTTCTTCTTCTTCTTCTTCTTCTTCTTCTTCTTCTTCTTCTCTTCTTCTTCTCTTCTTCTTCCTTCTTCTTCTTCTTCTCTTCTTCTTCTTCTTCCTTCTTCTTCTTCTTCTTCTTCTTCTTCTTCTTCTTCTTCTTCTTCTTCTTCTTCTTCTTCTTCTTCTTCTTCTTCTTCTTCTTCTTCTTCTTCTTCTTCTTCTTCTTCTTCTTCTTCTTCTTTCTTCTTCTTCTTCTTCTTCTTCTTCTTCTTCTTGCTGCGTCTTCTTCTTCTTCTTCTTCTGCTCTTTTCTTCTTCTTCTTCTTCTTCTTCTTCTTCTTCTTCTTCTTCTTCTTTCTTCTCTTCTTCTTTCTGCTTCTTCTTTTCTTCTTCTTCTTCTTCTTCTTCTTTCTTCTTTCTTCTTCTTCTTCTTCTTCTTCTTTCTTCTCTTCTTCTTCTTCTTCTTCTTCTTCTTCTTCTTCTCTTCTTCTCTTTCTTCTTCTTCTTCTTCTTCTCTTCTTCTCTTCTCTTCTTCTTCTTCTTCCTTTCTTCTCTCTTCTTCTTCCTTCTTCTTCTTCTTCTTCTTCTGTCTTCTTCTTTCTCTTCTTCTTCTTCTTGCTCTTCTTCTTCTTCTTCTTCTTCTTCTTCTTCTTCTTCTTTCTTCTCTTTCTTCTTCTTCTCCCTTATTCTTCTTTCTTCTCTTCTTCTTCTTACATTCTTCTTCTTCTTCTTCTTCTTCTTCTTCTTCTTCTTTCTTCTTCTTCTCTTATTCTTTCTTCTTCTTCTTCTTTCTTCTTCTTTCTTCTTTTCTTCTTTCTTCTTCTCTTCTTCTTCTTCTTCTTCTTCTCTCTTCTTCTATCTTCTTCTTCTTTCTTCCTTCTTCTTCTCTTCTCTTCTTCTTCTTACTTCTTCCTTCTCTTCTTCTTCTTCTTTCTTCTTCTTCTTCTTCTTCTTCTTCTTCTCTTCTTCTTCTTCTTCCTTCTTCTTCTTCTTCTTCTTTCTTCTTCTTCTTCTTCATTACTCTTCTTCTGCTTCTTCTGCTGCTTCTTCTTCTTCTTTCTTCTTCTTCTTATTCTTCTTCTTCTTCTTCTTCCTTCTCTTCCCTTCTGTCTTCTTCTTCTTCGTCTTCTTCTCTTTTCTTCTTCTTCTTCTTCTTCTTCTTCTTTATTCTTTTCTTCTTCTTCTTCTTCTTCTTATTCTTCTTCTTTTTATTATCGCTTCACCAGCTGAAACTTCCTGGCGGAAATTCTGGTTGTTCATCCACTTTCTTGGTATTGTTTGCCCTGTTATGGCCAAGATTCAATTTGTATAAAAATCTTCTTATGTTTTCAACTTCTTAACATCCCGCGTGTGGGTTCCACTCCCTGTAAACTCTACTATAGTCAAAACAAGAATAGACCCACTGCCTACCTAAAAGCATGTCGTAAGAGTCGACTAATTGGGAGCTTCCTTCGAAGTCGGAGTGCATCTGCCTCAGAGGCAAGGAACCAACAGTCTGCACACAGATCTGTCAAACGGATGCACACACAACACTCAGGTTCTGGAACAGGACTGCAGTCCAGAAGTGGACGAACAACCAGAACTTTTCGCCGAAGTTTACACCCGGTGAACGAGAAGAAGAAGAAGAAGAACATTGACCCTAAAATGGCAAGTAATATTTTAGACATCAGGTAGGTTAAACAGAACTAAATGTATCAAAATTCAAAGAGACAGAAGAACAGAAACTGAACTTCAGGTTTACGCACCCTGCAATGGAAAATCACAGCGATGAAAAACATTTCGATGAACTAAGCGATGTAATTTCTAATATTCAACCGGTCAAGAGAAAGAAATAATTAACTGAATTATAAATAATTATTAACAAACTTTTAACATACAATAAAATGGACAACTTCACGCACAAATAGCTTTACAGTTACGGGTTTGAAATTGAGAAACTAGAACTATCGATTGTTAAAAAACAAATTGAAAAACAATATCCAAAAGATATCAGTTGCACATTAATAATAAAAAATATTCATTGTTTAAAATGACCACACAATATATATATATATATATATATATATATATATACTATATATATATATATATATATATATATATATGTGTGTGTGTGTGTGTGTGTGTGTGTGTGTGCGTGCGTGAGTGTGCGTGTGTGTGTGTGTGTGTGTGTAGCACATTAATGATTCAAAATGTCGATTGTTTAAAATACAAAAACCAAAAAGAAAAAAAGATTGAAAACAATACCTAATAGGTGTATGTAGCACGGTAATATGGGCGCCAGACTTGAAGCAGTTATTTTTGTGGACCTAATATACAGAATGACGGCGTCCGTGGCTAAGGCGTTGCGAGTCCGACTCGTAATCCAACGTACCGCGATCGAAACCCACTGCTGGCTGCGTGAATTTTTATTGTGGTATGGGACGTCGCAGGTCGACCCAGCCTCAATTGGGTACCAGGATGGGCTGTCCTGGGAAAGTAAAGACCGCCGGCGTAATGCTGACCACATTACCCACCGAGTGCCGATTGGTCTGTAAAAATATGGGCGCTCTTCCCATATGCCCGATGCGCCTAAGGGCGTGTAAAGGGATCTTTACTTTACTTTACTTACTATACAGAATGAAGGAAAATATGGACACTGTTGCACAAAATACAGTGCGCATAGGAAATAAGAACAAAGAAGGAAAATATGGGTATTCTCAGCGCCAAAAATATAAAGGTTGTTTAAAGCAGAAGAAGACAAAGAAAAAGAAGAAGAATATAATGGTGATGTTTAAAGTGAAAAAAAAAATTATGTTTTGATTTTGATGATAAAGCAGCTGAGGAATAAGCATAAGTGCAACAACCGGACAAATAGAACTAAAAAGGAGAACATGAGGAAAAGAAAGATGGAAAATTAGGGACCACTGAATATCGAAATGTTCTCTTGTGGATATTATATGCTCACCCCTACTACAAAATGTGAGAACCTCTGATAAAAATGGAAATAAGGGCACAATGAATAAATATAAACATGAGGCATGTTCTGTGCTGTAGAGGAAGTGAGGCGTCCGGGCCATCTTTGCTTGCATACTTGCTTTGATTCACATGTGAAAAGATTTCTTGTGATCTCTTGTGTTATTTACAGATCCGGACAATTCATATCCTCTTGTGAAAGGACGTCGTAAAAACTGAGGTACTTTTGAATGACCGGCGCTACCAGCCTTTACCTCCATTGTCCTAGAGGTTAATTGTATCTGACAGCGGCTGGATGTAGTTGTCTCGTTTAGGGACCTTTCTCTCTGACTGAAGCATTGTTGCATTTAACAAGGATTTAATTTGTTGGCATTCAAGCAGAGAAAGCAGTGTTAAATGCAACCGCAGAAATCTCCACGCTTGGTCGCGCTCTAGAGTGGGTAGCCCACAGACCGATCTGACCTCCTTGAAGGAAATTGGGCTTCTAACATTTTCCCACAGGTATCAGTCGGGATCTCTGGCGTTTCAGATGAGTCAGTTCAACTGTGGATATTTTTTGTCAATTAATATTCATCCAGGTGATAAATAGACGTGGATTGTAACTTTACCTGTGTTTTTACAGCAGTAAATTATATTTTTGAAAGTAAAGTAAGCTTTATTTCGATGGACTTGTTGCGATAGATTAACATTATTAATTCTGACAATTTGGTATGGAAATGTTCAGGAGGCGAAACATTCGAAAGAAGTCCATCACCATGCGCCAGTGTTTCCATGCACTCGTTGTGTAATCCGCGGCCGCGGTGACTCGTTCGTCGACAGCTTCGGTTGGTTTCCAAGAAAGGAACAGTTGAGCCGGGATGGCTGATCCCCTTAGATGGGCGTTGTTGTGGAGATTCTGACCAAGCTGCAACAAAAGTGAAGCCGTTGGTGGATTAACATCTCTCGAAAAATATTTGATTCCCTCGTTAATTTAATTAAATGTCAATCTTAATCATCAGTGCGATTAAATATCTGTAAAGGATTACCATTAGGGAGTTTCGTGTCAAGATGTGTTCGTGCATTCCTTATGGTTTTTGAAATATACAAAGGGGCTTTAATCTCTGCTACATAATTTCTCTGAACGGCGGCTGACAATGGCTTCTCGTCAGTTAAATGGGATTTCTACAACACCGTTTTTATACGCTACGTATATGTTTTTTCTTGTTGTTGTTCTCAATGATGTGATCTGGCACTTTCCCCTGGCCAGTGCCCAGCGTTTCGCCGCCGATGACTCTTACAACTACTACTCTAGCAACAACAACAACAACAACAACAACAACAACCAAGATAACTACGCTGGCAATGAGTACCTCAGTGACTGGAGCGACCAAGATTGGGTCAAGCTGAGTGGACGGATCAACCAGCCCAAGTGTGTGGACATACCCGCTAACCTCACCCTGTGTTATGGCATTGGGTACGAGAAGATGATGCTGCCTAACTTACTAGACCATGATTCTCTCAGCGAAGTCACCCAGCAAGCTGCTTCCTGGGTACCGTTGACTCGAATTAACTGTCATCCGGACGCTAAGATGTTCTTGTGTTCACTCTTTTCCCCGGTGTGTCTGGACCGACTTATCTATCCGTGCAGGTAAAGATATTTTTGTTTGTTTTTATTTACCAGTTAAATAAATAAAAAAAATGATTTGACAGTGTGAAATCTCTATATGATTTCACAGTTTGATATCTCTGTATGATTTCACTATGTGATATCACTGTATGATTTCGCCATATGATATCTCTATATGATTTCACTATATGATATCTCTATATGATTTCACATATATGATATCTCTATATGATTTCACAGTTTGATATCTCTGTATGATTTCACTATATGATATCTCTATATGATTTCGCCCTCCATTACTTTAATAATGTTTTTTTTAAATCCCGTGTGTGTGCTCGCGCGCGCGCGCTTGTGTGTGTGTTCACTTTTCCTCATATAGTAAGTCATCTATTATCCTTTTTCACCAGCCATCTTTCTATATCTTCTGAATGTTTCTTCTTTATATTTATCCATTTTGTTTTCCTCTAATGATTGCACAATAGACTCCATGTTTATAAATACATCCTTTGTTTCCATTCTACTATTTCTATTCATGTGTTTCTTCTTTTCTTTCCCCAGCTATATGTTTGCTCGTTTACTTGTATGTGTATCAAGTTGTCGTTCACGTATTTAACATTTTTATATGTGTTAGTTCATTCATTGTCTTGAGCAGAATTATATGTTACATAGCGCCTGCAGTTCGTTCCTTCCCTCCGATTTATCCTGTTCTGTTAGTTAAATATGGACGGGAAAAAAGTTTCTCTGCTGGGTTTTTTCAGGGTCTGTTTAGTGTAGCGCCATCTTCTGTCACACAATCGTTGAGGCTAGCTAGTGCTTGTCCGGAGATTTCTATTATTTCTTTACTTCTTTTGAATTCATCCAGTTTTTTTTTTAATTCGACTTTTTCCCCATGAATTTGTTTTGGAAAGCAATTAGTTTTTGTTCTATGTCTTAAGTGGATCTCCAATTTTCCCTGGCATATGTTAAAACTGAAATACCATTAAAACTGAACATAGGTAACCTGGTTTCATAACTAAACACATTTATAGAGCTGCTTGGTCTCGAGGCATGGTATCCGCCTCGAGTGCAAGAGGTTCTGGGTTTGATCCCCTGTAAGGGCTGGGATTTATTTTGGTCATATCAAGCGCCACGACGGATTGGAAAAAATTATAGCAGAAGGCATGGTACCAGGAAGGAGGGACAGAGGCCGACAGACACGAAGATGTGCACAGGATATAAGTGACTCCTTGAGTGTGAAAGTTCATGAGGCGGGAGAACTGGCAAGAGACTGAGTTTCTTACAGGCAGACTGTGATGAGAACAATGGACCTGCTACATGATGATGATTACACGTAATAAAGTAGAATGGTTAAATCATTACTTGCCATGCGACTCGGATGCCTCATGATGACGATAACGATGATAGAGATGAGGATAGACCCGATGATGATAGGATGAGAATAATGATGATAAAGATGAAAATAATTATGACACGATTAGAATTATGATAAAAAGATGAGAGTGAGGATGCTAAGATGAAAGATGATGAAAAGCTGAGAGTGCTGATAAAAAGATGAGAGTGATAATGATTAGATGAGTGATGATGATAAGATTAGAGTGATGACGATAAACTGAATGTTGATGATAAGACGAGTGGGATGACGATAAGATGAGAATTGTGATAAAAGAATGAGAGTGCTGATGATAACGAGAGTGATGATGATGATGATGAGATGAGAAATCTGATGATAACGTGAGAGTGATGATGCTAATATGAAAGTGGTGATGGTACGACGAGATTGATGATGATAAGAAGAAATTGATGATGATAGGATGATAACTGTAATAATACGATGATAGTGGTGATGATAAGACGAGAGTGACGATGGTATGATGAGAGTGATGATGATAGGATGAGGATGATGATGATAAGACTAGATGGATGATGATAAAATGATAATTGTGATAATGAGAGTAATAATGATAAGCCGAGAATAGCTTTAATAAGACGAAAGTGAGGATGATAAGTGAGAGTGATGATGTGAGATTGCTATGATAAGACGAGAGTGGCGATGATAAGTGAGAGTGATGATGTGAGATTGCTATGATAAGACGAGAGTGGCGATGATAAGTGAGAGTGATGATGTGAGATTGCTATGATAAGACGAGAGTGGCGATGATAAGTGAGAGTGATGATGTGAGATTGCTATGATAAGACGAGAGTGGCGATGATAAGTGAGAGTGATGATGTGAGATTGCTATGATAAGACGAGAGTGGCGATGATAAGATTGTAATTGTGATAATAAGCTGAACGATGCCAAGATGAGAGTGATGAGGATAATATGATAACTGTGATAAACGATGAGGGTGATCACGATAAGACGAGAGTGAGGACGATAAGATGAGAAATATAGGGATAATATGAAATGATGATGTTAAGATGAGAGTGATGATGATAAGACGAGAATGATGATGCTAAGACGAGAGGGATGATAAAGAGATGATATTGATGATGATTAGATGATAATTGTGATAATAGGATGTGAGTGTTGATGGGATAATATGACGAGATGAGATTGATGAGGATAAGATGATAATGGTGATGAAAAGACAAGAGTGGTAATAATAAGGTGAGGTTGTGATGATAAGACAAGGGTGATTATGATAAGACGAGAATGATAATGATAAGATGGTAACTGGCTAAAAGACCTAAGTAATGATGACAAGACAAGAGTGATGATGCTAAGATAAGAGAGATGTTGGTAAGATCATCCGCCTCTATCTAAACCTCTTTTAAAAAAGAGCGCGGTGGGGGGGGGGGGAGGAGGGGCTGTGCTGCTTGGTCTCTAGGCATTGTGTGCGCCTCCATCGCTGGAGGTTCCGGGTTCAATTTCTGGTAAGGGCTGGGATTTTCTCACGTTAAAATCTAACCAAAATATTTCAGGATCCTCACCGGTGCTACAGAGTTTGTGTACTGTGCTGAGCTTCTTCGGCCTCAGACTTCCTCAGGCTTGAGTTAGAAGAAAAACTGAACACTTATGAGTTACTACCCGTGTGCCATGATGTTGATCTGTTGTTCGAACTTCAAACTTTAAACTTCAGAACCTCTTGGTTGCTCTTTTAGGCTGTCCTAGGTATTTTAAGCATTCTTCTATAAAACCACATCTCTGAAGCCTCAAGATCTGACCATCAAGAAAGATTGGCTAATAAACAGCGTCCTGTCTTGGAAACTAAAATATTTTTGGACATATCAATCCCCACAACGGATTGGGAAAAACAAATAGCAGAAGGCTTGGTACCAGGAAGTAGGGACAGGGACCGACCCACACGAAGATGGGCACAGGATATAAATGACTCCTTGAGTATGAAAGCACATGAGGCGGGAGAGCTGGCGAGAGACTATCTTTCAAACAGACCGTGATGAGAGCGACGTTCTGCATAGGAGCTTCTACATGATGATAATAATAATGATGATGATAATATATATATATATATATATATATATATATATATATATATATATATATATATATATATATATATATATATATATTATATATATATATATATATTCTGGGGTACTGAAAATAGTAAAGCATTGCGCCGTGGTCATTTATGCAAAATAAAACTATATGTATGCATTAATGTATTGCATACAGAAGCTAATTGCTTCGTGTTTCCTCTGTCCCCCAGTATAATATAGGTCAAAACCTATTACGCTAAGTCCTCCTGTTTTTATTGCAAAAAAAATCCTCTTCCCCTGTGTGTGTTTGTGTGCGTGTGTGTGTTTCACATGCCTTCATTTCTATGCCTCTGTGGGTTCCAGTGTATATCCATTTTAATTATTTCTCCTATCCATAAGCAGCATATTCTCTTCATCTCTTTGATTCCCTGGAACTTGCTTAGTTCTCTCCCAAAGCTCCACATGAATGTTTCTGTCACACCCAAGTATTTCCACTATTCTGAGGATATATTACGTTTTATGGATTATTTGAGTTGGTCTTTATTATTCCGCTTCATACAGCAGTTCCTGTCTTATATTACAGCTAAATATTTTAAGTTTAGTGCTAGTTTTAATTTCCCGTGACTTTCTTAGATTTCTGAGTGCAATGACAACTTATCTCGCTCTTTTTTAAAAACCATGAGTTATTAATCCTTTGGCCCGGTACTATGGATATCACAACCCTTCGGCCTTGATACCAAGATGGATACCGTAAATCTAGGAGATTTGTGGCTTTTCTGCCTACCTCGGGACCATAAGTTCTTATCCGGTCGCCACGCAGATGATTTTAACCAACTGAGCTAGCGCTTGGGGCTGCTTTTTCTATAAATATATCTGTCATTTACCTCATCTTTATCTACATTACTTCGAAACCTCGGCTGGCTGCGTGGATTTTTATCGTGGTATGGGGCGTTGCAGGTCGACCTAACCTGAAATTGGGACCAGGATATATGTCCTGGGGAAGTAAAGACGGCCGGTGTAATGATGACCACATTATGCACACAGTGCCAATTGGTCTGTAAAAATATGGGTGCTCTTCCCATATGCCCAATGCGCTTAAAAGCGTGAAAAGGGATCTTACTTACTAGTGTATTTTAATCTTTGTCTTTCTATTATGGATTTTAATACCCAGCTGTTGTGATCTTACATCAAGTATATTAATCTTCTGTCTGATTCCTTGAGTGGGAAAGAACAGAAATATCATCCAGGAAATCCAGGTCATCAAGCCGTTTTTAGAGTTCCATTGAATTCGTTCGTTTCCTTATGGTAGCAGCTGCTTTCTTCGTAATCCAGTAGAATGGTATTGAAAATAGAAGAGGAGAAGAAAATACATCCCTGTCGCACACCGGTAGATAATTGTTCTGTGTTTAGCCCTTTTATACAAACCTATGTTTCAGAGGGACAAAAATGTCTCCACAATGTAAGTTGACTGTTATATTTCCACTGATAGCTTAGGGGTAAAGGTACTACAGTCACTTCCACAGCCTGACTGTTAGGCCACTACACGAAAGCTTAAGAATGGTCTTTTATGAATCTAGTTACTTATACCCCCCGACACTTCGATGAGGTACAAGGTGGAAGAGAAGAAGAAGAAGTTACTTATACATTGATTATATACTGATTACAGTTGCTTGCATGTTGCAGGTCACTGTGCCAGGCTGTCCAGGTGTCCTGTGTGGGCAGGATGAAGGCTTACGGCTTCGACTGGCCGGACATGTTGAAATGTGACAGGTTTCCGCTAGACAATGACCTCTGCATCAGACCCATCCATGATGTCAAACGTAAGTCACTTTAGGGTATTTTCTTTAGGCGTTTGATAACAATTATGTTACACTGGCAATAAAATCTAGGGGACTTGGGCTCACTGAGCGCCCCCCTCCTCCCCCCATCGAACAAGTTTGGGGTCTATAGCTGACTCAACTAGCACAGTTTTGAAGGGGCTAGGCACCCCTCCCTCCACCCTCCCCAACCAAGTATAGAAATGATCTTTCAAGTACTTGTCTATATAATATAAATCCTATGTAAAATATTACATTTATTTGCCTTTCAGCAGATTATTATTATTATTATTATTATTATTATTATTATTTTATTATTACGAACTTAAACAATACGTAGGACATTATGTCAAGAATACCTGGCCAGGAAGTGCCATTTTAAGAAAACATTACTGGTCCGATTCAGTAAAGAAAACCAAGTTCTGGGACAGCTAGACCCCCCCCCCCCACCCCCCACCCCACCCCCGATCCTCCCCTAAACTCCCATCCCAAATTACCGCATAAGAAAGTCACAGCTGGCACAAAGAAACATGCCATACAAAGCATATTCATCCCCATCCTACGCTACCAGTGCCAGACATGGTCACTCACAACAAAAACCACAAAGGGAAATTAGTAACTATGGAAATGAGATTCTCTAAAGAGGGCTGTGTGATTGATCCGAAGTGATAAAATCGGGATTGAAGCCGTAAAAAGTCGGAACAGACTCAAAACTATATTGCATACAAAGAAAGCAAAATCAAATCGTTTGCTCACTTAGAGAGAATGCTGTGTAATGCCATACCATACAACACATACAACAACAACAACAACAACAACAACAACAACAACAACAACAAAAAGGAGAAGGACGTAAAGCACGAGGTAGACCAAGAAAAAAAACAACGGAAAGATAACATTAGAGAAACTCTACAACAGCACCCATTGTCTACTGGCGAGGCGGCGAGTGAATGAATGAATGAATTTCTTCCCCACTAGGACATCACACAAGCGATAAACACCCGATGACACAAAGTGCCACCATGTGGGTGAGGATCACCGTGGAGAGGTCCCAGAAACCGCGTTCAGACAATTGGCCATATTTATGGCCTGCCTATATTGCGCCCCCTGGCAAAAACCAGGGTGGGGCTTCAAAGAACAACAAGTTTCGTCCTAAAAAGGACGTAAGTGTAAGTAATAAAAGGCGGCGAGAAAAACATGAAGCAGGACCATACATCCACCTCGACGCCCGAAGCGGTTTAAAAAAAAGTGACTGAGATGAAGATAAGTACATAAACAATATGGTGTTAAATAAGATAGTTGTGTATCCTTTGCAGGACGTTGCAGAACCCATCTCAGTATGGTTTTGTTTTTTTTTTGTTTTGGTTTTACTAGACAGTGTTACGATCAGTAGTTTGGCATTGGTAATAAACGGTCGACACGCCATACGGTTGTCAAAATCCACACAAAACGCTCTGCTGCCAAATTGATTGTAGGCGAAATCAAACCAAATATTTCGAAGTTGTGAAGCGTATTCGCAACGCCTAAGCTTCAGACGCCGACGGATGCTTCTTCTTTATCTTCTTGAAAAAAAAAAAAAAAAAATAACAGTCGTCCCCATGTGGGTGTAATTATTTTGTGTTGCTTTTAAGCCCCACCCTGGTTTTTGCCGGGGGCCTAAACACAGTCGGGCCTTAAATATATGGGTTTTCGGGACCTCTCCACTGGTGATACTCATCCGCATGGTGGCACTTTGTGTCACCGGGTGTTTATCGCTTGTGTGATGTCCTGGTGGGGTACAATTTCCTACCTTCATCATCTTAAAGCCCATGCCTTTGAATGCTAGTAACCACGTGTTCATAAAACCTTCTGTCTCGTGTACTTCCAGTCACCTTTGATACTTCCTTTATCATGCTACGATGTCAAACTATCCAGCATCTTCCTATTCGGTCTCCCTGTACATCTCTGTCCCTTCAACTTTCCGACTGTCACAATGTACTCCAGTTTCTCCTTCTCATGGCATGACCAAATCAAGTAGAATGTCTTCTTCTGATGTGGGTAACCAGCTTGTCTTCTTCTGATGTGGGTAATCAGTTGTGAGTCAGTTTATATTAAATCATTTGCATTACTCTTTTTTAACTGTCCAGTGTGCAGGGTATTCTCATCATTCAGCTTCCAAATAATTTTTCATAAATCGACCAGCTGTTTGTGATTCACGTCCATACATCATGAAAGGATTTTTATTGCTTTCAAGCACTCTTTCTCGTCTTAGTTGAAAAAGACGGGAGCTATATATCATAAACCCAATTTGTTTTTCTGAAAGAAAATCGCCCAACTTTAATCTTGACATTTTAATAGACATCAGCACTTATATGTTAGACTTGAGGTGATACTTCAGCATAAGTCAGTTGACATGGCAAAGTTTCAGAATGATCGAGTATTACATAACTACCCCAATGTAACCCCCGCTCCGCGTCCTCCCGAATTACCGTGCTATTCATGATTGATCGATTATCTTATGGTATATTCATTTAGTTATTGTCGAGTCTATACATAGTCATCTATACAATCCTGTTACAATCCTGTACCAATCCTACCATATGTAGTCAAGTAAGTTGGGATCTATTAGCTGTCGGGGGCCTTAATTAACATGAATCATTGTAGTCGTTATTTCTTTCGACTTGTTGTGGTCTCTTGTGTTACTCTCTGTCTATATTTCTATGATAATAAGTCTCTCCATAACTGATTGTTTAGAATGCATCAGTTTTATACGGTAGTCTACATATATTGCTTACCAAATCCTTCGATTATTCTAGAAAACATGTTGTGTTTAATACTGAATCAGCCAAGAGTCTTCACTGTACTTCGTTTTTGGAAACATATATTTTCGAAAGACAGACAGACAGACAAAATGTTAGATTTCACTTCGAAAAAGTCTTCTAGGTATTTGCCGGCAACATAAAATACAGACACAATCTGTTCTGTTGGTCTGTCGTTACCGCTGTTTAAGTGACAGACTAGGATTTGGAACCTCTGGTGGCTGCCTTTTGCATTTGATGCGTGTGCGAACTGTTGGATTTTGTGAGGTCTGCTGTGTGTTTCATATCGGACAGAGACGAGAACTATGTGCGGTTTTTATTGCCACGGAAACGCTGCAACTGTGTGGTGACCCAAACAAAGACAGAACCTGAGTAAAAGAGAGAGAGAGAGAGAGAGAGAGAGAGAGAGAGAGAGAGAGAGAGAGAGAGAGAGAGAGAGAGAGAGAGAGAGGGTATAGCCTAATCACAACCAGACAGAGAAACAGAAGAGACACAGACAGACAAACGGACACACAGAAACAGACACGAACGAGCATTAGCCTCGCCGTGTAAACCCCGTTTGTAGATGTGTTTGTGTGTGTGTTTATGTGTTTGTGTGGTTTTTTGCGTGTGTTTGTGTGTATATGTGTGTGTGTGTGTTTGTGTGTATGTGTTTATATGTGTGTTTTTATGTGTGTGTGTGTTTATGTGTGTTTGTTGTAAAGTGGTACTAGAGAGCCGTCGTGGTCTACCGGTTAGACGCTCACCTACAGATCGTGGGTTTGAAACCCAACGAAACTGAACACTTTTTTTCTCTGCAAACATGACCTTAGCTCCCAGGTCGACCCAGACTTTAAACGGGTACAAGCTAAAGTCCTGGGAAGTAGAGGCGGACAGTGTGATGTTGACCACATCGCCCACCAACTGCCGGTTAGTCTATAAAATATAGTTCCAACCCTATATGCCCAAATACGCTTGAAATTGTAGACAAGTGTCCTTCAGTGTTTACAGTAGTTCTTGTGATTGATGATTCAAGTAAATAAAGCGGCGTTTGGGGAAAGTAATCGTTCTTTTTCTTTATTCACCGGCTGTTAGCTCCAGCGAAAAGGCCTGGTTGTTCGTCCGTGTGGACTTTGGCTTTGTGCCACAGCCCAAGTTTTGCGTGTACATCTGTTTTACTGGCTTAATTGTTTACTGTTCATTGTTCCGTGCCGCTCGGGCGGATGCACTCCGACTTCAAAGGCAGCTCCCAATGAGTCGACTCCTTGTACACGCTTGTTAGGAAAGCAGTGGGTCTATCCTTTTTCCTACATTGGAGCCCCGGTAACAACACGGGGAGGCGAAAGTACTGATCTAACACAAAAAAGACAACGTTTTCCCCAATATACTGCTATAGTCACTTCTGTCGTTAACTACACAATACAAAATAGTAACGCTGATTCTTCATTGCAATCAGTGACTAAGTTTCTAACAGCAAGGTCTATGCTCGTTTGTTGACCTATGTGACCTGCCTGTTATACTTTTGTCGGTAACAATACAGCTAGCTATTCCTTAAGCCGGAAATACCCAATTGTATAGTCTGCATGTTTTACATTTTTGTGTAGGTTTGGTCAAACGGTCAAAGTTCGTGCATGAATGAAGGAATGTACATTTGAACCCAGACACCATGTGTATAGAGTATTGCGATTTACCTGTTTTATACATGTGGTGAATTTTCAAATTGAATCACTTCACTAAGTGCTATACTAACACTAACGGTTACCAGTAATGGATCTCGAATGTACATACCTGTGTAATTAAAGAAAACATTAACAGGAAAATCAATACCAAAAAGGGTTTGCATTGGAACGGAGGGGGATGGGGGAGGGGGGAGTAGTAGACGAAGCAGAAGAAGAAGAAGAGAAGAAGAAGAAGAAGAAGAAGAAGAAGAAGAAGAAGAAGAAGAAGAAGAAGAAGAAGAAGAAGAAGTAGCATCAGTGGTAAAAGTAGTAGTATTCATAGTAGTGGTGGTAGTAGTAGTAGTAGTAGTAGTGTTAATAGTAGTGGTAGTAGCAGCAGCAGAAGCAGCAGCAGTAGTAGTAGTAGTAGTTGTAGTAGTAGTAGTAGTAGTAGTAGTAGTAGTAGTAGTAGTAGTAGTAGTAGTAGTAGTAGTAGAAGTAGTAGTAGTAGTAGTAGTAGTAGTAGAAGTAGTAGTAGTAGTAGTAGTAGTAGTAGTAGTAGTAGTAG